TTACGTCTTTTTCAAAAACAAATAAAGTGAACAATACTTGAATGTTTTGCCAAATATTTAGGCTCATTATCATGCCAAATATATGGCTCATTGGCATGTCTACGGAACGTAAAATTTATTTTACAATAATGCTATTCAAAAACAGATATAGTCTTTAAAAATTTCTGCCAAGTTGTCAGGCATAGACCCCCCTAGAGACCCCCATCCTATGTAATGAATTAAGTTAGAAATTTGGTACTACAAGTGACAGTTCATAGATATAGAAAAGCTCAGACTTCAAATTATGCAAGTTCATTGTAAACCTTTACCAATGTACACATCAGTGCCAGCAAATTCACCTTTTGAGAAAAAACTCGAATTTTTTTTTTGCCAAAGATTAAGCAAAAATTATCAGAGTGAAAATTTGCAGTTAAGGACAGCTTAATGCCATAAATGTTTATTAGGCATTTCACTTAACTACTATCTTCTGCAAGGTGTGCTATATAGCAATCACTAGTAGCATTGTATTTGCAAATACAAACAGAATGTAACCAACATGTCTTTAATTATATAACTACATGAATGTTAAAATTGGTTCATGTGTCATGCTTACTGGTTATGATAAATATCTTTTCATATGATCAAAGCTCATTTAAATGTAAATCTGAAATAATTTAGTTTAGAAATTATGATGATCATCAGAAAAATTACCTAGTGATCGTGAAAAATACTTTGCTGTTTTGCCAAATTTCAAGGTTTATCTGCATACATAGAAAGACATTGTTACTTTATAGAAAATGCTTTTCATACATCAATAGCCCTTTGGAATTTATGGCAAATAATCTGGTATGAGCCGTAGATTAACACACCTTTACATCTCTACATGAGGTGTTCAGTTAGAAAAGGGAACAATATGTGACATGGGACAACATTTCATGTATGTGAAATACTCAGGTTTAACACCATTCCAGTCAAATTGTCAAAATAAAAATCTTCATAGATCAGAAGACTCAAACAATATGTAGTATAACTGTCCAATGATTGAATGATCAATGATCATAAACTGAAAAGCCCCAAACATTTGTTTATGATAAAGTAAATAATAGTATGGCGCCTTATAGCTACAGATTTTTTGTCCATTGAAATATATTTGCAGGAATGTAGTATTTCGCTGCCATATAACGGCCACGATTCCCCAAGCACTAAAGAAATCATAGCTAAAAATCCTCCGGCAACAACAATTTTAGAAGCATCAATCAGACGAAATTGCGAAATCACCTTTCGAATACATCGACAAATTCAACCCAAACGTTCGAGGTAAATTGGAAAGATGCATACTTAGGAAATTTAACGAGTCTATTAGAGTAATTTGGTAATCTTTTAAAAATATTTGCATTACTTTCAGACCTGAATGAATGACATGCATGTCGACTGTCGGCCGATATTGTATTAGCCACTTTTGAATGAGAACAGCGTCAAATCCTTTTGCATGATGGGCGATTGCTGTACAGCCTATATGCTCTCTTGAAAACAGAAACTCACAAAAATCATTTAATGCATTTTATCCTTTGAAAACACGTTTGTCATCTGAGAATCCTGGCTATCTAAGAAACCAGTCGGGCACAAATAAATAAATTACTATACACACCCCTATCAGCGCTCCAGCTACGGCCCTGAACAAAATTGTACTTCTAAAAAAAGAGTGATTCGGTTGTATAATAGTACCTTGTTTGTAAACATGCATTTCATGTTGGATTTACTGGTTAAGTGAATGACTTATTACACTCTTGACAAATGTTTTAAAGTTATTAGCATAAAAATAGTTTTATTTTAAATTATACAAGGAATTTATAATCAAATCTTGTGAGACCTCTTGATGACATCACTACTATTTTGTTTCTGACACGCTTAGAAAAACTTTAGCAAATTTTAATAAGATATAATTGTAAAAGCACCAGAGATATTTATAATCGAAGTTGGCATCGTCGTTCCAAACGCGTCCCGAGCACGTTAAGTAGTTCAAAGCCTTCACTAAGGAATATAGTCAAATCCTTTTTATAAAGTTCAAATAGACTGTGATATCATTTCTGGTGCTTTCTTTTCCTATAGCTATTTTTTTTTCAAGCAATGCAGTCTTTGTGTCACTGTGACAGTCAAAGAAGAAATTTTCAAGTATATAAAATACTATTTCAGTCGGTGTTTTATCAGTTCATTTCAATTTTTAGCACTATTTAATTATAGGATGTAAATTCAGGCTACCCACATGTACGCTCTGTGTATCTATTTTTAACATAAAGACCTCTCTTTCTTAAAGTGGGAAAGAATGGAAATGCACATCTGGATATTTCTTGTCAGAAGTACAACAGTCGCCCAATGGTAGAACTTGCTAAGTGCTGAAAGTTCAAGGATGGTCCAAATTCATATGGAGATTGCTACGTAAGGAATACAGACTGGACCGAGCCTTCTTTTAAGGAGGGTTGGGCTCAGTGCACTCGATCTAACTACTTCGTCACACAATTGAATGGGGCAAGCTGCGATGAGCTGCGATGCGTAAAAAAATTCGATTGTTGTCGAAAAAAGACGGCTAATTTCTTGGCAAAATGACTTCCTTATATTTTAAGCGACTCGTTACAAATTATTACGTGTAGTGTCATGTAGTCGTGATGTGAAAATGCAAAATAAAGCACAAAGTTAATAAAAGATTTCATTTATGCTCAAATTCTTTCTAAACACACACGATTTTTAAAAAATCACATATGCGTTAAAAGTATTCGTAACGAATGGAATGGAGGATCTAGAATAAGTGAAAATAAATTTCTGTTTCTCATTATTGCAAGTATTTACACTTAAAAACAGTTTAGAGGTAAGTCAATTGGTAAGATTTCATATTTTTCTCATTTTATAACCATTAGTGTTGTTTTGAAGATATTTTGAAATCTAAATTGAGGAGTTACACTGTTGGTTACAAATTTCTAAGGAATATTTAAGACTAAAATACTCCAAATAGGATTCGCTCCAAAGTATTTTAAAATGGAAATATATTTCACTGACCGCCCCTGGATTTGCTACTGGAGTTTTGGCCTAACACCTGGATCAGCTAATGACTTTGCAACTGCTTACACGTATGATGGTTTTTAGCTTTTGGGGAGGACGGAACCATAAAATGTTTTAAAAATACAGATCCTCTGAACGACTAGAAACATAGTGATTGGCCTCGACTATTGATAGCTTTGTTCACTTAAAAAAGACGTAATTTTTTTATAGAAGCATATTTTTTACTGTTCAAAAGGTTATTTTTATCATGCATAATGAAATTGAAGAAACTACAATTGATCTTAACTTTCAAAAAAAAAAATTAAATTGTTTTATTTCATTTTATGTAATTTTATTTGGTAAACAAATGACGGTTTACTTAAAAATGGAGATTAGTCAACATTTTTTGTCAGCAAGTCAAATTTCTCAAATAGTTTATGCAACTCTGTGTTGTTGTTTTTTAATCATTTATAGATAGAAAAAAAACTAACAAACATATGTACACGGAAATTTCAGCATCATGAACACTGAAAATTAATTTATATTTAGGGGAAAATTACAGTTGTATCTCTATAATTAGTCCATCATTCGAAGAGAGATTGGATGAGCGGCAGTTTGTAATCATGGTTATTGTTTTAATCTGGTAAGTCTTTAAATTGGGCATTTAATAAATATCGTAACAAGCATAGACGTTATGATATCCGCAATTCTAAGAAAAATGTGACGCAAACTGATTTAATAAATATCATTGTCGAAAAAACCAGTAATATTTCACAATATTTGTACTCACAACAAGAATGTAATGGCAAAAAAACGAATATTTATGTTTCCATTACTAGCGGCGGAACATCGATGCTTTGGGGTGGGGGGGGTCTAAATTCCAACATTCATATGTATAAATCAATAAACACACATTTGATTTTTATAGAAACTAGTAAAGTAAAACATCCATATATGAATAATACCCCCCCTCCTCCATATCGATGTCTCGCCGTCCTTGGTTTCTTTCTCTTAGCATTTAGGGTACTGCATTACTATTGACATATACTAAGTTCTTTTTTTGTCATATATTAAAACATTTTCTCTTTGGTCTTTAATGGGTAAGGGGGGGGGGAAGAGATTCAGATAATTGCGGAGAAAGTCCACGATGCGTGATAAAATGTATTTGTCGACGACCCTTACTTATATATTTATCATCGAAATGTCTGTATATTACAAAAGATTATTATTAATTCACCATGTTCGTGTTGATGTTTTAAGAACGCTGTATTTTCATCCATCTTTTCTTTTCATTGAACAGAAGTTCAGCTGTAAGTATGTTATGTCACATTTGAGCCAAACGTCTTACGATAGTATGATATAAAACTTTCAGTAAGAAAAACATAAAATTTCTAAGGTGCATTCCCCCCTCTCTTTCTTTAGGGGGAGGGGGAGCAATTGTGAACTTCGATAAATCTCGGCGGAAATAGAACAATTCCTCCATTTTTTGGCGTCACCCGATAATTAAAGCCGTGATTGATATAATAGCCGCTCCAGTTAATTTAGAACCCTATGAATTTGACCCATGATTTGACAATTAATTTGAAAGGATTATGATATTTCCTATAATGATTGCTTTGCACTTTTATGGTAAAAAATATAACATGGAATGTAGTAAATATTTCTAAAAAATTATTTAGATTTTTATCAGATTTTTGGAAAATTTTTCAGGTTTAGTTGATTTCATTTTTTCTTAGAAATCCAATTTTTTTTATCAAAGCTTTCCTTGACAAATTTCCTTTAAAGTGGAATTTCTGTTAACAGGAAATATGCAAAATACTCGTGGTTGTGACTTGTGATTTTGACAAGTGACATGTAAAGGAGGAAGCGACGCTGCGACAGACGAGCGAAATTAGTGTTGCTAAGACGCGTGCAATGCATAGCAGTTTTTGGGGTTTTTTTCTGGGCCATCGTATGGTTTTGGTTTTTATTTATTAATAATTGACAAAATGTACAGACAAAGTGGAATTATCGTCAGTTTTACGGTGCTAGCTTTTGACTACTATAGCTTTGCTGAGAACAAGAAGGAAGCAATTATCTTAAAGCGAAAGTCGTTGAATATTCTACGAATTTATGATGATAACAACAGTGAAATATTGAATCAAAAAACAGAGGTATTGATGAAAGTTGTAGAAAAAGAAATTTGGCTTTAATCATCTATTCCTTTTGTTGTATTCTGCAATAATAATGCTGATTTTTTAATAGAACCTTATTCATATTTCATAAGAAATTTGCCGTGCTACATGCCCGGCTACGTAAGACTTCAAATTTTGAAGTGTGACCCTAGTCGTATCCCTAACTTTACATTATTACTATATTCTATTACTTTAGTTTTTGAAACATGAAATGTTGAATCAATTTTGAGTGAGAAAATACCTATTGTACCCTGAAATAAAATAGAAATGAGTGGAGATTCACTGGAAATGATCAGTTTTACAAGTATTTGCAAATTTTATATTCCTTTTCACTTTTTTCCTTTTCACTTTTGTCTAATGCTTCTCTTTAGATTGATGCTTATCCTAAAAGCAAAAAAGAAATAAGAGAACTGTACTATTTAATGATGCAAGATGGCCACAGCAAAAATATCTTGTATGATATCATTGTTATTGGCAACAGTGATGATAAACTAGCATATTGCAGTAATATTGTAAAATTGTTTGATTATTATATAGAGTGGAGGTATTGTTGCTGATCATAGGGTGAAGGAAGTCTGTGAGAAGGGCTATACTGGTGATGGTGTTACTGTCGCTGTGGTTGATGGAGGACTAAGGTATACGCACATGGAGTTTGCAGGACGATATGTAAGTTATAAACTGCTATCAGAGCCTCTCATAGGCTTTTTCATTTGTGTCAGACATTTATTGAAGATCTTTTGATATTAATATATGGAAGGTGTTAGAATGTGTTAAACTATGTTATCCTTAGCAAATTGTTCTTGTTTCTATGTTGCAGTTGGAATGAGAATTAAGCTAGTATTCAATGTCTTGTGATCATAATTAGCCGATGAAATAACTCAAACCTGTTTTTTAATATTTTAATCTTACACAACAGGATCCCTCATTAAGTCGTGACTATGTAAACAACAATCTCGAACCAAACAAAACAGATGAGTATGTATCACAAGCGATTTTTTGTCAGTGAGCTGTTTTGCATAGCTCATACATATTAAATGTATAATACATACACATAATTTTTTATGCATCTGAGTAAGCTTTTGTTCACAAAGCATGATTGTGCAAAGCCTTTATGTTTTACCCTTAATTGTTTAAATTGACAAACATTAAACAAAGGGTATAAATAGGACATTTGTCTTTCAAGATTGATACCTATGAATTCTTTCCTGCATTTTTTATGAGCTCTGTTTATGAATTTAAAAGGCAAGCCTAATTTTCACAATGTAGCATACTATAGCAAATCTCCCATACTATATCACCAGAAAGAGGTGAAAGAAAGAGAGAAAATTATATCACCATACATCACCATACTATATCACCAGAAAGAGTCCGCAAACGAGGTAGACCGAGAAAGAGATGGATGGATGCTGTGAACAGTGATATGAAGGCGATGGGTATAACGAGAGATATGGCGAGAGATAGAGACGTGTGGCGTAGAAAAATTCATGGACCGGTCAACCCCCCTGGCGGGGATTAATAATGGCCGGTATATAAATGTTGTTTGTTGTTTGTTGTATATCACCAATATTTAAATGAGAGAATCAAGCAAAACATCCTTAAAGTGCACACCCCAAGCATCAACCTTTGTAGGACCTAAGCAATGCCTAAACAAGCAGTGAGAAAGTGTAGTCTTAGATGCCTGATAAGTAGTAAGTTGTTTACCGACATGCATGCTTTTGTTTTGCAACATTTCCATTTCATTTTAGATCTAACTATATGTTATGTGGTCACTATTCTCCATGGTAAATATTCTCTCAGTTTAAGACAGTATTTTAAGTTTTTCATCTCAACAAAATCTCTGTTCAAAATGCAGTATCAAAGTTAGTGCTTCATCGTAAAATATGGGGTTTGTCATGTTTGCTTTTGTCAAATAGTCTGACTGGGTGCTAGCCGTTAACATGCCACTGTAGAGATTATACGAACTGTGTTGGTATTATTATAAATATGGCAGTGCTGATACTATAGAAGTATTATAAATATAACAGTGCTGAAACTATAGAATTATTATAGATATAACAGTGCTGATACTATAGAATTTTTATAGATATGGCAGTGTTGATACTATAGAATTATTATAGATATGGCAGTGTTGATACTATAGAAGTATTATAGATATGACAGTGCTGATACTATAGAATTTTTATAGATATGGCAGTGTTGATACTATAGAATTTTTATAGATATGGCAGTGTTGATACTATAGAATTATTATAGATATGGCAGTGCTGATACTATAGAATTATTATAGATATGGCAGTGTTGGTACTATAGAATTATTATAGATATGCAGTGTTGATACTATAGAATTATTATAAATATGGCAGTGCTGATACTATAGAATTATTATAAATATGGCAGTGTTGATACTATGGAATTATTATAGATATGACAGTGTTGATACTATAGAATTATTATAAATATGACTGTGCTGACACTATAGAATTATTATAAATATGGCAGTGTTGATACTATAGAATTATTATAGATATGGCAGTGCTGATACTATAGAATTATTATAGATATGGCAGTGTTGGTACTATAGAATTATTATAGATATGCAGTGTTGATACTATAGAATTATTATAAATATGACTGTGCTGACACTATAGAATTATTATAAATATGGCAGTGTTGATACTATAGAATTATTATAGATATGGCAGTGCTGATACTATAGAATTATTATAGATATGGCAGTGTTGGTACTATAGAATTATTATAGATATGCAGTGTTGATACTATAGAATTATTATAAATATGGCAGTGCTGATACTATAGAATTATTATAAATATGGCAGTGTTGATACTATGGAATTATTATAGATATGACAGTGTTGATACTATAGAATTATTATAAATATGACTGTGCTGACACTATAGAATTATTATAAATATGGCAGTGTTGATACTATAGAATTATTATAGATATGGCAGTGTTGATACTATAGAATTATTATAGATATGGCAGTGTTGATACTATAGAAGTATTATAGATATGACTGTGCTGACACTATAGAATTATTATAGATATGTCTGTGCTGACACAATAGAATTATAAATATGGCAGTGTTGATACTATAGAATTATTATAGATATGGCAGTGTTGATACTATAGAATTATTATAGATATGGCAGTGCTGATACTATAGAATTATTATAGATATGGCAGTGTTGATACTATAGAATTATTATAGATATGGCAGTGTTGATACTATAGAATTATTATAGATATGGCAGTGTTGATACTATAGAAGTATTATAGATATGGCAGTGTTGATACTATAGAAGTATTATAGATATGACTGTGCTGACACTATAGAATTATTATAGATATGGCAGTGTTGATACTATAGAATTATTATAGATATGGCAGTGTTGATACTATAGAATTATTATAGATATGGCAGTGTTGCTACTATAGAAGTATTATAGATATGGCAGTGTTGATACTATAGAATTATTATAGATATGGCAGTGTTGATACTATAGAATTATTATAGATATGGCAGTGTTGATACTATAGAATTATTATAGATATGGCAGTGCTGATACTATAGAATTATTATAGATATGGCAGTGTTGGTACTATAGAATTATTATAGATATGGCAGTGTTCATACTATAGAATTATTATAAATATGGCAGTGCTGATACTATAGAATTATTATAAATATGGCAGTGTTGATACTATGGAATTATTATAGATATGACAGTGTTGATACTATAGAATTATTATAAATATGACTGTGCTGACACTATAGAATTATTATAAATATGGCAGTGTTGATACTATAGAATTATTATAGATATGGCAGTGTTGATACTATAGAATTATTATAGATATGGCAGTGTTGATACTATAGAAGTATTATAGATATGACTGTGCTGACATTATAGAATTATTATAGATATGTCTGTGCTGACACAATAGAATTATAAATATGGCAGTGTTGATACTATAGAATTATTATAGATATGGCAGTGTTGATACTATAGAATTATTATAGATATGGCAGTGCTGATACTATAGAATTATTATAGATATGGCAGTGTTGATACTATAGAATTATTATAGATATGGCAGTGTTGATACTATAGAATTATTATAGATATGGCAGTGTTGATACTATAGAAGTATTATAGATATGGCAGTGTTGATACTATAGAAGTATTATAGATATGACTGTGCTGACACTATAGAATTATTATAGATATGGCAGTGTTGATACTATAGAATTATTATAGATATGGCAGTGTTGATACTATAGAATTATTATAGATATGGCAGTGTTGCTACTATAGAAGTATTATAGATATGGCAGTGTTGATACTATAGAATTATTATAGATATGGCAGTGTTGATACTATAGAATTATTATAGATATGGCAGTGTTGCTACTATAGAAGTATTATAGATATGGCAGTGTTGATACTATAGAATTTTTATAGATATGGCAGTGTTGATACTATAGAATTATTATAGATATGGCAGTGTTGATACTATAGAATTATTATAGATATGGTACTAAATGTGCTGTTGCTGTTGTAGACTGGTTATAACCAGAGACGTAGCAAGCTTGCCAGTTTGGTCCTGCTATGCAAATTTTATTCTTTTCACTCATTGTAAGAACAATAGATTTCAATAAAAATAAACAACGATAACTTCCTAAAATTTTCATTGCAGAACTAAGACTTGCCGTCTGGGTACGTAACTGGTTATAACTCTACTGGTGTTATTATAGACATGGTACTAGTTTTTCTGGTGTTATAGACTGGCATGGTTAAAACTGTGGTAGTGTTGTAGACATGGTACTAACTGTGTTTTGGTTACTAAACATTGTTATAACCGTTGTGATGTTTTTATAGACATGGTACAAACTGTGCTGATGTTATCGCTGGAGCTGCCAACAATGGTATCTGTGGTGTTGGTATCGCTTACAAAGCCAAGATTGCCGGTAAAATGCCTCTACAAATTAAACGTATCACACCTGTATGAATTTTTGTAAGAGTCACGTGATAATTTTTTTTATTTTCTGGCTGGCCAACGTACGTAGCAGGTCGTTTGTTTACAAAATGTTTCATTTTTGTTTTCAAGGAATTCAGTTAACATCGTCTGGTATTCCTGAAGACTCGGTTCTTGCTCGAGCAATGTTTCCGTTTGATGGTCACGGAATTGATGTTTTTTCCTGCAGTTGGGGTCCACCTGACGTAGGCTTTAAAGTGCAGGGCCCAGGGCCTTTAACACGGCGTGCTTTCTTAAATGGCGTAATAAAGGTAACATTTACGTACAGGGTTTGGCTTGAGTGCAGTTTAGCGGACAATGGTAGCCATTTTGCGTTGAACATGAACACTGTGGCCATGTATGACTGTAAATGGTGGCCAGGCGGAGTATTAAAAATAAAAAAACACTGACATCTACACGACTGTACAACAAAACATTCCATTTCACTCTTTACTAGCTTAAAATGAAATGATGTAATTGAGTGAAAAAGTAAAAACAACGTAATAAAATGTTAGCTTGAGAGCTGGAGATGGCGTTAGGGTTAATTTAGGGTTTTTAACTTTTGAGATAAATCTCAGTCATAAACTTATCTAGCTTTGAATTTACCACTTTTTTCATTTTGTGAGCCAGCGTTATTTTTGCTGAGTACGACACAAGGTGCCCGCTAAATTGCACTTGTGCCAAGGTTTTGTCGTTCTGTAACTATTTGATGAATAGACGAGTGCCACTTTATCTCAACCATCTTTTACCTCGACGACCATTTGACAAAGTATAAGATTAAACACAATCAGAAGAAATACGTTGTGTTATAAACAAGATAAATTGAGAATTGCAATATTTCGGTTTTATTTCCACAAAATCGTCATCCTGGTAGAAATCTCAACTAAGATCTTATAAGGATCTTAGTAAGATCTTATACGTATAATTCTATGCAGGATCCTATTAGGATCTTTCATAAGATCTTACCTTAGGATCTGATAAGATCTTACATGATCTTCCTTAAGATTTCTACCAGGGCAGACAGAATGACATGTAGCTACCAGCTGGCTGTTAGTTATTCCCATTATTAGCTAGAAGGTGTCAAATTACATTAAGATGAAAGGTTATGGATAGTTGTATATGGTAATTATTCCAGAAGATAAATGATGTTTTGATTTATTACCTTCATCTGAAAATTGGAGTTGGAACAAATGAATAAGACTCCTCACATTTGATTTCTGTTGTTGATGGCAAAGAATGTCACTAAACCGAATTAAGTGCTGGCTAAATGTGTGTATCTCGAACTGATTTACATAAACCACGGCGAAATTCTAATACGCTCTTGAGAACGCAGGACCCATTTAAAGCAAAGATCTCATTAAGTTACTCTTCAGACAAGTAATTAGGATGTGTACCACTTTGCCAAAGACCTCCAATCAATAATTCCTGTATACTTGTTATCTGACATATGTCAATATCAGAGGCGAAACTAGAACACTAATTGGGGTAAATATTCATCGTGAAATTAAAATCGCAAACAAAAGAAATCAGCAGGGCAGAGCTGAATTTATGAATATATACCCCCCTAATTAACGTTCTAAAAAGTTGATTTGATTGGTGAGCACGGAGAATTTTTAAAACTGTGTAATGTAAATGTATAATATGGGATCTATAAAATTGAACATACGTAAAAAAATATAAACATACTAACTTTTCCTACATATAGGGACGAAATGGTCGCGGATCGCTGTATGTTTTCTCAGCTGGAAATGGAGTTTTCTTTGGCGACAACTGTGCTTTTAATGGTTTTGTAAACAATATTCACACAATTGGTGTTGCTGCTCTGGACAAAAACGGAAAACCAATGCTCAGTTCTGAGCCATGTAGTGCTGTTATGACGGCTGCTTTCGCCGATAATCTGGTAGGTTTTTTATCTTGTCACAAATGATGTGCCGCATATTACTCAAGCTATGTCCTTTTTTCATTTTCCAATTTTTACGGCTTCTGATTGGTTATGCATGGATATGTGTTATAAATGTGTGCACTATAAGCTTCTTATTCTAAGGAAACTGCATCCGCTTCAAATGACCAAGCATGCTCTTCATCTTTTGGTCAAACATCTGGTGCAGCGGCTGTGGTCTCTGGAATAATAGCTCTTGGTCTGCAAGCTAGGTATACTTTGACCCAGATTTTTGTAGATATATTCATGTTTTGAAACGGGGTTTTTTATAGTTATGTTTCGAAGAAACTTGGGCCTGTTTCAAACGTCGAACTTTAAATACACCGAACGCATTAAAGACAAAAGAAAATGGGATGAACTTCCTTATTATCTTTTGTTTTAAATGCGTTTGATTCATATAAAGTTCGACGGTTGAACTAGGCTTTAGTTATTTAGCTGCCCTTTGGAAAGATCCTATCATTGGGTTGGCTGCTTGGATTAGCCGTAACTTTACTGCAACATGCACCAATAAATATGTTGCATTTTTAATATAGCGTATGACCATCCCAATTTGAACAAAACGTTCCATTTCACTTCTTTAGAAAGTCACTTACATGGCGTGCTGTGCATCATCTCATAAGGAAATCAAGCAAAATGGACGTCATTGATAAATCTGTTTTACCAATTTTAAATAAAGCTGGTTTTCAAGGTACCATTACTTTTCACTAAGATTTTACAAAAGATTCTGCCTTTTTGTACGTGTTGATAGTCTGCAAGCGTAGGGGTGTTTTTTATTGGCAAGCTTTCCTTCCATACAAAAGTAATGATCGTATTTAAGTGTTTAAAGTGCATTTTGCCTTGGTAAATATATCTTAATGATTGCTGATGGCTTTGATAAAATTGCTCGACAAGTCATGTCGAATGATCTGATTACTTCAGTATGTTCTTGCTGAAAATGTTCTTAATTTGTTGTAAACAAACGCAATTTATGATTTTATACTATTCGTGTTGGAAACTACGCCACTTAATTGTGTTGTTTAATGTCATGTAAAGATTCGGGCTATGTCAAAAATATAAATCAAATCTTTCAAAATGTAGAGCATTGTGTGATTTGGAAATTGAACTTCTGTTGATAATAGACCATTAAGTAACATAGAAATTGAACATCTATGGATAGTAGAACATTATATAACTTTGAAATGAAACATCCATGTACCATTATGTAACATAAGAAAGAAACATTTACAGATAGTGGTGTGATCAAAGCATTGCAAATGACATGCATGAAGCCAAGCAAATTGAATAGACATATAAGTAAAAAGATGAAAGTATAAAATAGGATATAGACCAGATAATGCGTAACTAACGGATGGGTTACGTTAACCTGTACTAATCTATATAGCGTTATAAAAAATGAAATAAAAGATGAGTGATACTTCATATATAGTCGAGCATTTATTTACACAACAGATTTTTTTGTTACATAGAAAAGTATTATTGCTTTAAATAGAGCAAATACCATGTTGAATGGTCAAATACTAACGTAATAGTTCTTAAACGAACTGTGTAAAACCAGAACACTAATCCAACAATTCTAAAAAGAAATGTTTTTAAAGATAAAAGACACTATGCATTTTGGCAGACTACTCATGAGATGTCAACGTCTGCTAAACGAGAGCTTTGAAATTATGCGATATTTATAATATGACCAAAAGTCAACGTCGTCTCCAAAGTGAGAGATGACTCTTATAACAGAGATAAATTGAAAACATAATCCTTTTGTCTGCAGAGGACGGGGTTAGTCAACTTAATTAATACAGTCGTCATGACGCGTAATTGAAATAACGAGCGACATTTTTAGCAACTCTAAAATCATGATCAGAATATGAATTTGCACTGTGAGTGCTGCTCAAAAGATGTTTTCCGATTGCTGATTCGCATAACGCTAAATTGTCACTCTTACAATCACGTTTTGGTTGTAGTCTTAAAAGAACTGTTTCATTTCTGATAGAAGCTGGTACATGCATGTTGCTTAGCTCTATCATTCAGCCTTTGAGAAGTTCTTTCCACACAGCGAGCTTCACATTCACATTTGCACTCGTAAGCTACATTGCTTCACATAAGCACAGGCAGAAACTCTTTTTGGGTGGGTTTGAACAGTTTTTTTTGAAAATATAAAGACAACTTTGCCGGCAATAAACAAACTCTCAGTAATATTTTCAATTCTAAAAAGCAGTTCTTTTAGAATTGCTAGTTTAGTGTTCTTCTTCTCGTGTTCGAATGCTATGTCGTAAACAGTTTTTTAAGAATTATTACGTAAGTATTTGACCATTCACCATGGTATTTGCTGTTCTTAAAGCAATTCTTAAATTTGTTACCACGACAAAGTCTCTATTTTATTATTTAAAAAAAATAGTACCTGTGACTGTCAGTATAGTATTGCATAAGATGGAAATAGAACGTCTATATATAATGAAGTATTGCATGACATTGAAATTGAACATATGTATCTATAAGTAGTACAGTTTTTTGTAACCTTGATAGACTTACAGGAGCGCTCAGTAAGTTATTGGACACCCAGCTCTTTACGAATTCATACTGCCTGCTGAAAGTTGTAGAATGGCAACAGCAACGTATTTTAGTACAGAATATTAAGTGATACGTTTGTGCGCTGATAAATCTCGGTTACCTGGTTTTGTTTGAAAGAAATATTATTGGGGTTTATGGTCTGCAAAATCGATAGTCCTTTTGCCGAATAGGGATGCAATCCCATACACCCAATTTCGATAATTTACAGAATGTTTGGTGGACAGTTGAACAAGCACTTTAAACATATCTTTGCGCTTTACGCTTATGATTTGTTAAAGAAAACTGAACGCATTTGCTACAACTATCCCACTGTTACTGATTATTAAATTCTTTGAAGTCGATTCCCGATCGTATTGAAGTCGTTCATGCTACAGGACGGCATACCAAGTAGCAGGTACTCATTACATCTGAAAAGGGTTGTTGTATGTCATGCTATTTACAACTTAGTAATTTGCATAAATGCACACGGCTATCGTAAATAGCTCATAAATGGTGTTGTAGAGCGTATTCCAATGAATACGACGGAAAAGTGTCACGTCAACTTTTCTATACTACAAATAGTTGTTGTGATCAGTTCAAATCCCAAGGCAAAATGTTTTCGAAATACTAAGTGTTCGATTACTTTTGAGCGCACATGTATAATCTGACTGCAACGTAGTCTATAATGTCTGAATGTATGACTAATTGACATATCTAATAATATACCTTGAGATATTTCTGCACTGTGATTGCTTTATTGCAATGCAGTTTAACTGTAATTGTACTGTGAAAATGTGTAATTGCACTGTAAAAAAGCTGTAATTGCACTTTAGAAAAGCTGTAATTGTTCTGTTGAAAAGCTGTAATTGCACTGTGGAAAAGCTGTAATTTTTCTGTAGAAAAGCTGTAATTGTTCTGTAGAAAAGCTGTAATTGTTCTGTGGAAAAGCTGTAATTGTTCTGTTGAAAAGCTGTAATTGTTCTGTGGAAAATCAGTAATTGCACTGTAGAAAAGCTGTAATTGCACTGTAGAAAAGCTGTAATTTTTCTGTAGAAAAGCTGTAATTGTTCTGTGGAAAAGCTGTAATTGCACTGTAGAAAAGCTGTAATTGTTCTGTAAAAAAGCTGTAATTGTTCTGTGGAAAAGCTGTAATTGTTCTGTTGAAAAGCTGTAATTGCACTGTAGAAAAGCTGTAATTTTTCTGTAGAAAAGCTGTAATTGTTCTGTTGCTTACATTGCTTGTCTATTCCGTCATTGTTGACATAGTGACAAAGTCGCTTCACGTAGCTCGCGCCTTCTTGTACCATTGCACGCCGGCTTAACTCTACATCGGTTGCTTAAAAATTGGCAATGCAAAAATTTCCCCTGTGAAATGAAAATAAAAAAGAATGCACTTCCCACCAGAGACACTTTAGTGGGGAAAAAATCTTCTAAACGGCAAAAATATTCTTGTCTGACGGAAAATTTTGAGTGATTTTAGATTCAAGCCAGCGGCATTGTGGACGGCGATCAGGATGAATTGTCCAATAGTCTGCCTGATGGTGCGTCACACGTAATACCTTAAGTGATGAATCTCTTATTTTCTAAAAAATGACGCAGTCTGATGTGTGGAGGTTGAACTCACGGGTTACAAAAATTGAAACTAATACCGCAAAAATAATACGTTTGCGGCAACACATGACTATTGTAAACAAGAGGCGCTCTCTAGCGAATGAGCTCGAAGCCTTAGAGGATAAAGCTATTTTTCCATCTAAAGCTGATACTGCTTACCAAGCATAGAGTAGAGCTGTGAATCGTCACATAGTATATAGATTTTCAGATGATGTAGCTACCTTTTAGTCAAATCTGGTTGCTGAGCTTACTGTGCACTGCAGTTAAAAACGATTTAGTTACGATGTTATGCAAACGTAGAGCTTAAAACATGTTGATAAGAAATTGCTAGGCAAGATTGGTTCAATTCAACGTCCTGATACTTTTTCAGGTCGTATTGTACCTCTTGTACACTTTTGTCTAACCTTGCCAAATTTGTCCAATGAAGTAACTTTCACACAGCGAATATTCAGAAAAAGCAGGATGTTCTATAATTTGTACCACAAACATGCTTTTAGTGGCAAGAAATAATGCCACTCAAATGGACCATCCCCCCTGATATCATCCAGTTCAACAAGACATGCCTCTTAATGCTTTTGCCAAGTTGTCTTAACATCGTAGAGAGGTTATGTAGCCAGTTTTTAAAAGGGCTTTTGTGTCCCTTTGTTCAGAAAAATTACCGATCACTATCAACTTGTTTAATGATGACTTTCAAGCTTAATTCAACAATATAAAGACTTTGAAGAAAATTAGTCAATGAGCCAACTAGAGCTGAGGCACATGTGCTCGGAGAGAACATATGCATGTGTACCAAGTATTCTTGGCGAAATGACAGTGTGCCTCCACTGCGATATTTTTATGCAGGAGACCATAGCGATGCAACGAACCATAGTTTCCAAGGCTACCATCTCATGGTCAATAGCACCACCAGGGGAACCAGGAACTTAAGTAAATTCCATGGTGAGCTTTCTTGGGCATTATATCTATAATCTGATAATTGACGTAAACAATCGACTTAGTTATTTCCAAGCATGGAAATTCTTCCAATTTGTGCATGAATGAATCAAACTTACTTCTGATCCTGAAATTTTGAGTATTGTCAAAAGTTTTGAACTTGAGTTGTTTCAGGGACACCCTCCCTACAGTTTTTGGTCAAATTGGTCAATGCCAATTTAAAGCATCAGTGAAGGAAGTGACTGAAGTTTAAATATCTCAAGTTCTTGCTACGATTGTTGCTATATTGTTCCCTCATACCATGTATTGTTTAAGTTTATCACACCAATCTTTGTGAGATCTAAAAGATGGCCTTTTTCGTATGATTCTTAACCTGAAACATCTGTTTTTACTTTTGTTGCAGATCACCATTACAAAATGGTGATCACGCTGTGATCTATCATTAAACTAGTGACACTTAATTGTTGCGTAGCCTTGATGAATTTAAGAGACGCCTGTCACTCCTTGCCAATGATACCTGTTGGTAAAAAATTGCAAATTTCTGCTGTAAGTGCGTTGTTTTATTGATATAATGGTCATTTTAGTGTTCTTAGGAAAATCACAAAACTATTTGAACCAGTCCACACAACATCCTGGAAAAAAGGACATGATTCTCCGGTTATACTGATGATTTCTATTTGCAGGGCAATGCCTATACTAATTGTGCTTGTAATGTTACGACTACTGTTCACTTATTGTCAAAATTGGGGTTGTTTCTACACCCAAAGAAATACAACCGCAGTTTAGCGAAATGCCCCGGAGACCTTCAGTAGATTTAGTGTCTCTGTTCATAGTTTGCTCTGTTTCCTGATCGCAAGCTAATGATGCAAAGGGTGCTGTGCTTGTCATTGCATAGTCCACTGTCCTTTTACACACATGTTTTCGTGGAAAAAAAAAGGTGGGAGTTCTTTAGCTCTTTTATTTATAGCCAGTAAATAGAGAGCTATCCGAAGCAAAACTATTTTATTGTCTCTAACGTTTCATTAAAAATCTTTTCGCTTCTACGCTATGTACATATATCATCCTGAACGTTACAACGTTTCCCCATTGTATGATGAGTAAGATAAATAGAAAGGCATTCAATGACAAGTTAAAACTCGCCCGAATTTTCTATATATTATTGTATAAACATAACTTATGGAATGATTCTTATGTTCCCTACAGCTATTAGATAACTTTTACATCTGATGAATATTCGAGCCAAATAATAACTTTAAGAGCCGGACCTATTTATCACGGAGCAATACTCTTACCTTTTAATAATGGCTATATATACTTTACAACTGCTCACATTGTATTATGGGAATTCTTATTCTTTTTTTATGTATGTTAATTCGGACGTAAAGCATGTGATCCAACCCCATCAAATATTGTCGAGTTCAATGCGATTTTCCTGTAATTTTTTCTTTAAGCGATTTACTTAAGAATCGTGAGACTAACAGAAAAAAACACCGAAATAAGTCGCATTGTTACAGAGTTATCATTTATATTTCAAATCTAGATTTACAGAACAGAGAAAGTTTCCAATAAAATATCTATAAAAGGTTATATTTCCAGTCATCTGCATGTTTCTAAAATATTGACATTAGCATATTATAAAAACTAGCTAAGCAGGAGTCTTTTTCAAGCAAGAAAACGAAGAGAAATGTGTCGTCGACCATATAAATCTATAGTTCGTAAACAAAACGTGTTTCACTTATGACGTCATAACTTATTATCATGGCCACTTGAAAAGTTCATACATTAGGTCCGTATTCAGCGGTAAACTTAACTAACTTCTACTCAACAGAAAATACTTATTCATGTATCAAATTGCTTCAAAAACTGTGGATTTTCATCAAATCGGAAAAAAGAGGGGAGAAAAATTCGTTCCATAAACACTTTAATGGTAGATGTACCAACAAATATCTCAGGTGGTAAATCCGGGAACGTTAGCGACGTTTAAGTTCCGAATGATAAATATGAATGGGCTCTTTTTGAAACATTCTTTGCAAACTATTTATTTTAGGAGTAGTTGATTGATGTTGGAATTATGACTTAAGGTTAGCACTAATATGACGTTAGTGTGATGAGTTGTACCTCTTCTATAGACACAGTTTCTTTTTCCTTTTCAATATTTTGCCAAACTGCAAAAGTAAATATCCCTCGTCAAAAACCTTGGGACGGGTTTCTTTGTTTCCATTCTTTGTATTGCTGAGCCAGTTTTATTTCGAACTACAGTAATATAGGATGCACAGTGTCCAAATTTGTGCAATAGATTACATATTGTTGTTGAGCCAGTTTAGGATTTTAAAGTGAGACCCAGAGCAACAGACTTTGGTGATTGTATCCGTCCATGTGAAAGCAAGTAAATTATACATTCTGCCCAATCAAATTGACATAAGTTGAGCTCTTTCCTTTTCAGCTACTTCCACGAAGATGCCAGATGGTGGAACTTTTTCCTCACTTGATAAAAAAGGTTGTCTGTATATCTTTTGAGGCACGAATATTATGATATAAATACTATTCACTGTCAGCTTGCTGAACTGTCAATTCTCGATATCTAGAGTTACCAAGGAAACCGTTTTGTCAGGATATGTACACAAGTACACCAGAAACCAAAAACCATTTCCAGCCGACAATTTAAAAAAGCAAAGCAACAAATAAAGTCCGGAAAACAAGTCATCTTTCAAAACAACATCCTAAAGTCGAAAATTAGCAGTTTTATTTTGCGTCTTGTATTAATACATACTTTGTGACTATGGGGAATTTTCAGAAGTCAAACAGATAGACGTGAGCGCTGAAACATCGTGTTGTATTATTGTTTTATTGGTATTGGTCTCCTTGTGCCACTATCTGCAGTACTTCAGACCAGCGGTACTCATTCTTATATATAATCCGCCATATTATTGTTTTGTAGTGTTTTAAGTTGTGTTTTAAAGTTAAATAAAGCCAGAGAATGGTAAATTACAACAATTTATTTAACTTTATTTAAATTCTTCAATATGGAAACGATATTGAAACCGCAACGTCTCGACTTGGACCCAAATTCGCCGTCAGCCGCGAAAGAGTGGAAACATTGGCTCCGAACGTTCAACAACTTCATTCAAGAATGCGGCGATAAAGCCCCAAACAAACACCGTACTCTCATCAATTATGTCACGAGTCGAACCACACCCTACCACTTGATAGGCAATGGCCAAGTAGAACGCTATAACGGTATATTGTGGAAAGCTATTCGCTCATCTCTCAAGTCAGCAAGCCTGCCGGACAGTAAATGGGAAATGGTACTCCCTGACGCGCTTCATTCAGCAAGGTCTCTCCTCTCCACTGCCACCAAGCAGCTGTCGTTGGTGTTGTCTTGGCAGGTGTCTTCGTGTTTTATTTGCTCGTTGCTTTGAGTCTTTATTGCGTAAAGCGTATTTTTTTAAGAGAGAATAATCCTGTTGACATCGGCATGGAAAGTACGCATGTACATGTGTAAAGGCTGTCAATGAAAGTACCTATACAAAATATAGTCAAAGATGCTTCCCACGACTATAATAATGAAAAATTTTTTCACATTCGTTTTGAGTATGGTGAATATTTATAAATGAACGACGTTTGTGTAATATAAGTGTAGTTTGAAAAGCATTTGAAGAAAAAGTGATTATTTCATGAACCTTGTTCTCAGTTTGATTGATGGTTGATTGATCAATGATTGATTGATGGTTTATTGCAGTCTAAAAAAGTCTTTGCAAAATTGCTCACAGCCTAAAATAAGAAACCAATTAAAATAATCACGTACAAGTGAGCTTCAGGTTTTACACTCCTAACATTTGCAGAATCTTTCTAGTATTTTATCGCAAATGCTTTATTTAGTTCGTTTTCACGACCACGTTGTATTTGTTTCACGTAAAGAAATTTTGAGATGCTGGACCTTGACACTGTAGTTTATTTCGAAGTTTGTCTACTTGTTGATTTTGAAAGTACCATAAAACTTCCTTCGCTGTTTTATATTGATCATGTTGAATATTAGTATGATTATTTGTTGAATTACAAAAATGCCGGATGTTTTTAATGTATTGTTTTTAAAGTGTTTAGAATAGTGCATTGCCATTGACTGAATATAGTGGATGGTTGAATGACGTTAAGACCAAATTTGGAATAGCTCAGATAGACGTTACCTAGGGTTCTTGATATTGGTATTTCTAACTATTTGCGTGTGTATTGGTGGACAGTGGGATCGGATATCCAGGTTTTTAAAAGGGTTTCGATGGTGAAATGCCATAGTTTACGAAAAGCGCATCGAGTATTGAGAGCAATTTTGTTATTAGGTTACATTCTCAAGTGTCACTATCAACCACCAGCTTAGTAAGAGTGGACCTCAATTCGTTTTGGTGCTTATTGTTGGACATTTTGCAAAGAAAATTTTGCGATACTTGAAAAGAAATCAAAAACAAATCTTAGTTGAATCACAACCAAAAAGTAATTACTAATGACGTAATGAAGATAAGGAATAATGACTTTAACTACTAAAATCTGAACATGCTGAGATTATAGAGAGATAATTCTTTTGCAGTATTTTTGATATTTCTTCTCCATGCCAATTTTATCGAACATATTTAAGAAACTAGAGCACTCATTGGCAAAGACACCTATAATGTATTTTTAAAGCGATTGATTAGTTTAACATGTCTGAAACGATGACTCTGCTCGTTTATTAAATGTTTGTATTTTTCTTCTTTCCGTTTAATATTGCTGCAAAGATTAGTTTCGAAACCAACAGTAAGTTCAATGAAATAAAGACAACTGTCCAGATTTGTTAAAGTAAAGAAATTGCCCATGAGAAAGATGCCTCCATTACGTCATCCATTGACTAGAATGGCACCCGTTCGATGATAAGATAAAGTGGTTATTCTTGGAGGTCGAAAGAGGAAATAGAAACATAAAAGTGTTTTCATGTATGACAGAAGGACAGCTAAGATCACAGTCTTACCATCATTTTGGAAAAGTGATCCTTATGTTGTGCTGTTTTAAAATGGGATACAATTGTTGTCATGGGAGATCTGATCTATAAATATGAAGAACTTAAATCAATGGAGTGCATTATAATGGATAACAATTCGTCATGGACGTACCTTTCTCGGAGCCATAGCGCAAGTTTTACCCATCAGGCTGAATTATGTCTAAATTAGAAAGAAACGCTAACATACATATTATGTGTAGCTATTGTTGATCTGGAAAAGTGTCGAGTAAAATTTGATATTTTATTTCATTTTTTCCTTAAATACTCAGCTGTTCAAACTGCCATTAGATTTTTTTGGAACTGCATATATAAGTTTTTTGTCTGTCAAATATAAAGTGTTCCTCTCAGCAAAACGTTTTATTCGCGATATCAAATTTAAGTGTGACATCTAACATATTAGTTAAAAAACTTGTTAGATTGTTCAAATCGTTCCATTTTTATGGTGGTTTGAAGTTGGTAAAAATGCCCTCTTTTATGCACCTTGTCCATCGTCCGAAAGTTCTGGAACAATATACTTTCGTGACATCATGCAAAGTACTTGTCAATACTAAATATGTACACTAACTACATTGGATTACCTCAGAATTTTGCTGGATCCTGTCCATTGAAAGGCAACTTAAAACCTCCATAACAAGAGGATGTGAAAACTTTTCACCAATACGTTAGAAATCACACCTAGTTTCAAAAACAGTTTTAAAAATTTTGCTGGTAGGCACAATTAAAGAGTGAATCATCTTTTGAAGAAATTCTTGGTAGGTTTTCTTCTACTTAAAGTAATAAAAATTTCAAAAGAAAAAGTTTCTGCTATGATTATTTACATTTTTTGTGTACTGTTTCAAAATTTACATGCGTATTCTAAAAAACCCATTGACCATTTTTGAAGTATCATTATTTTAAAGATGTTTCTCGTATTTACTAAGCTGACGTTTTAAGCTGATTCATAAAAAAATCATTATGATCTATTATATCAATTAAGTTGGAGTCTTGAATGATTTAACTGAATCCAAAATGTCTCTCATTGTTTAAGTCATCATATTGAACAATCTCAAATGAATTTATATCTTTCCTCGATATTTTAGATCATAATACTGAACAGCAAATACATCAATGTCCTCAGTCTGCGACCAGATGACCAGTGAAATAAAATACCTAGCACAAAGTACGTATTTCTGCACTTAATAATATAATGCAAAGTAACAATATGTTTCACCAAACAACTAGGAGTGCGCATCCCTTAAAAAAGTTGACAATTTGACACGTGCCTTGTAAAGAGTGCACTATTAAAAGAAAACATTTACACAATCGATAAACATACATGTTATATTCGTAGCTTCTTGCATGCTTTGTCAAGAACCGCTGTATAATCACATCAATCGTGTGATGGAAATGTACATCAATAAAAGGATGTCTGTTTTTCTGTAATTGTCTTACAGCACACCCCATATGTTATGACACATCATCTTATTTTTGCATTATGGTTGATTTCTTATTTACTCTATTTGTTGATACTGTCTTCTCTTTGTTCGATAGAATGAGTGTTGGAAAAAAGTTTTGAGTCAGAAGTGGCAAAAGGTCCGGTGAATATTCACAGAGAAGGTACTCAAGTAGTTGTTACTCGTGTCCTTTAAATCAAACAAAGATTCAAATGATATATGATATAACATAGAAGAGCTGTATGAAATATTTTTCATACTGTTTTACTTTTCACATTACGTGCTGCAGTTTTTTGCAAGAAATTTCCACGTGATTAAAATCAGTGCATGGGTTAGATTGAAAATGTGCGTAAGAAAACCATGAAGATTTTTAGAAGATCATAGAAGATTCTAACATTCAAATGTTGATTTTTTTATTTAGTTCAACTAAAAGAAACACCGCTCCTTTGATAACATGAGATTTCCACCTGCGTGTGTAAATCAGCTACAAAAAGACAACTTTTGGCATTTCCTTGGCAAGAACTCTTCAACTGGTTAAAATTTTGGTTGATATTGCTTTTTTAGCGGCCCGAAGAAGCTCATGAAAGCCGGTTTTGAAAAGAAATTTAACAACAGCGATGTTTTCCACAGTTTCTAAAAACGATGTGAAAGCTTTTAAAGGAAAAGGATGCGAAAAACACTAAAAAAACGGCGAGGCTGACTTTGAACACATTTACAACATATTTAAACGAGACGAACTTGAATAAACCGTCTGACAAAAACAAATTAGCGAAGGTTTGAAAAATGTTTTATAATGATATAGTTTCTTAATACTTCAGTGAAAATTAAGACAATCATTCTTATTTGTTTTAGGCATGATATATTTATTCGTTTTAGGCATGATATATTTATTCGTTTTAGGCAGGATATATTTATTCGTTTTAGGCATGAAATACCAGCTCAATGTTATTCCGCCTAAGGTACGCTTCGGCAGATAACGTTGACTTCGGTCTGACTAATTCTTCATATTATGTTCAACCTCATGCAATGACTGCTTAGTAGTTGTTACTGTAGTCAATAATGGTCTATTTATATGACCCCGCGGTCAAGA